GAATGTCTCCCTAGCACCCTCCCTCCATCTCCCTGGGGTCGTCCCCACAAGAAGGATGGGCAAGCACAATCACCCGTGGTGGGCAGTCCCTGTGGAGGACCTGGAGGTGCCACAGGACCGGCACCGGGGAACCCACCTGCAGCATAGCACTGCTGGGGGGAGGAGGCAGGTGGAGAGGGACCCGCCTGTGCCCAGCAAGGAGGAAACCTGACTCTTGGGAGCAAGAAACGGTCAGAAAAGAGAAAAGGTCCATTCCTCCGCACCTGAGACACTGCAGAGGTAAGAAAACTTAGAAAAGACAAGACAAAATATTTAATCAAGCCTTGGCTTAATAGCGGGGGTATGTGATGATTCGAGTGTCACTTGCAGCATCTCTCTGACTTTAAGGACAGAATTCCCAGCTGGGCTCACACGCAGCATTGCATATTGTGCACCCTTTGTGGCCTCGCAGCCCTGCGGCGTGGGGCCACGGCAGCAGTTCCGCTGAGCACTTGGTTGCTCCCTTTGGATGGAGGATCGCTAGTTTCCCTGCCAGCAGCAGCAGTGTCACTGCTGTTCTTTTGGCTCATGTAATTGGCATTTAGTATTTTCAGTGGGATTTACAAGTAGCGGGAATCTTGTGACTCCCTGAAGAGGCGTGATAGGCACTAGCTACTCCATCAAGGCAAATAGGGCTGCAGAGGTTTGGGATGAGGAAACTGTGGGTTCGGTGGAAACTGTTAGGATGTTTACTGAAGTGTCGCATCTAAATCTCTGTCTTTTGGACGTAAATGTTAGAGCAGAGTGGACAGTGCCAGGGACTTACCTGAGCAGGATTTTTTTGCCTGCTTATGGGTGAGTGAATTTTGCTTCAGCTGTCCCAATACCCAGGCAAAAGAGGATGTATGTGCCTGCACAGATTTCTGTTCCCACCACAGGCTTCGCAGGAGAACAGCCATCTAACCAAACACAGGTGTGGTGCGGCAGCTTAGGGCAGAATGGTTTGCAGGTCCCTAATCATAAAAGAACAGAAAAAGGAGAAAAGCAGGTCCCCAGATTTTGTTATTGTGAAGCCCTTTGCAATTCAGCCAGACAGTAAAGTTTTACCTCTTCTTGTGGACTCTGCCAGGTACCTGGTTTGGTTGCTCTTGAGCCAGTTCCGCTGGGAAATGGTCCCTAGCTGGTGGCATTGTGTGCTGCTGGCAGCTATTGCTGCCTCCGAGGACACTGCTGAGAGACAGTTGTAAGCAATATCCTGTGCATCCTCATGGATGCTGGACCGTAATGATCTGTAACAGCAAGGTCAGCGTATGTGACCTCACCGACTAATCTGCCATTAACCCTTAATGACCTTACAACTCTACCTCAGTATAATACGTTTAAGGTATCCAGCCTGGGAGTACAGTAACTCCGTGCTTTCTGTGTTCGTGCTGCCCTCTATGTTAGCTGGGATTTTATATCTTTTGGTAGATGCTCTTGGTCGTTTGTTCCATGAATGCTGCCTGGGCCAAGTCTGGCACCCCTGAAGTAAGGTAATCAAAGGAGAGGGTGTTGTCAGATTGAAGCCGTGTTGAGCCCCCACACCAGTGTCTGGAAGCTTGTGGGTTAAAGCAAGCAGTGTGCTTAATCCCTGCCTGGTGATTAAGATGAGGTTTTCTGACCAGGAAAAGCAGCTGTGATCAGGGCAAGGGATCTAGCTCTGGGAACATAAACACTGGGGGAAGAAGCCAACTCTCCCTTTTGCAATTCAGAGCTCGTGGGTTTGTTTCATGCTGGCCCAAGAGGATGGGGATTAGTGCGGCGGGGGGTGAGGCAGAGGATCAGGTTTGCAGAGGGTAGTGTTATGTTGGCAGTGTGCGGGCTGGATGAAGAGGATTTTGGTGCTTGCCTCTCACTAGCCATGCCACCCTGGGGCAGCCGGGGCTAGGGGAGCAGGCTGGGCCACCCTGCTCCTTGGCACGGCTGCTCCTACCCCCTGGGTCTGCCTCAGTGCATGTTCCCATGGGGCTGAGCGATTACAGAGTGCAGCACCTCTACCACCCACTTGACCTAGCTCCCAGGGGGTAGCAATTTCTGCCACCAAGAGAGGCAACCTGCTGCTGGTCGTGTCATGTCTGGGCTCTTGGAGATGCAGCATCTTTTGTCTGCCTCTGCATTTCATTCACCTCTGGCCTGGGGAAGTCGTCATGCGTACTTCCGTGTTAGCGTGTCTCCAATCTTCCCTAGGGCAGTCCCTGGGCTTCCCATAAAAACAGCCAGTGCAGTGTGATGACTGATCTCTGTCAGTTCAACTAACTTGCCTTGTGATGTTTCAGTGTATTTTTCACAAAAACCTCTATGGGAAGGGACATGTCCTGATAGCTGCCTGAAACAAACCCATGTTTGAGCACATCTGAATGTTTCCCCTCCAGCACGGGATGCTGCTTGGCAGGCTTATTGCTCAGATGGCTTTGTAACTGTCCAGAAGTTTCACAGGTAAACTCCAGCCTTGCTCAACAGTGACAGCGGACCCCAGCAGGGGCTGAGATGGCTACTGCACCAAAAGAGGCAGAAAATGCTATTGGCTTGGAGGAAATCCACACGGAGAGACAAGAACCCTCCAAAGGTGGGTTTGTATTGGCAGGGCTAGGAATCTGGGTCTTCATTTAGACAGTCTAGAGAGAGGGTCCCCAGTCCTGGCACTCCAGCTACCTAAAACCTCTGTACACGGAGCCACAAGCATCAGCTTCATACTGCTCCTCTCCCGTCACAGCTACCTGACTGGTGACTGCTACCTATGGCGGTGGGAAGAGCTGGCTGGCTTGGTTTTTCTCAGGCCTCTGCTTTGTGTAAACATATTCTTACTCCTGTAATCCAAGGATTTTTAAATTTTGGAAAATTTATTTTTGAAAAGAAAAATGTGTTCTATTTCAAAAACTTTTTACAGGGAAAGAAAACATAGAAAAGCATAACACAAAAAGCTTTGCATCTGCAAAACTAAAAAAGAATTTTTTCCTGAAATTCCACAGTAAGTTATGTTCCATTTCAGAGGTAAAGTTGATGGGTTTGGGATGACTTAGTTGGGACATAAGTAGCCTGACAGAAAAATTTATGCAGCTATGGATTTGTCTAAATAAGAGCTTAAACATATACATACACTGAAAGCTTTCTGCTGGGTCTGTTTATAAAGCCATCCCAACTCTGATCTTGAGATGCTTTGTTTGCTCCTGAAATGGGGGAAAAAGTAGGGAATAAAGGCTTAGGAGACAAAACTGAGCCCAGAGTTGTGCTCAGAGTCCCTGGTTGTGCTCGTCTTGCAGGGCTTAGACCTGGGAAAGCCCCCAGCTCACGCCGCCTGTGCTGGGAGCAGGCCTGCACCCCAGGAGCGCAAAGGGGCTGCACCTCACCGCTGTTTGGGCAGGGGAAGGGAGTAGACCGTTGCCCAGACACAGCCCCAACCGTGGGTTTCTGAAGCAGGTTGGGTTGACAGTACAAGGCTGTTCTTCCCCACACCTAGCCTGCCCTCTGCCCCGCTGGCTGCTCTTTCAGCAGCCCCCTGATGTGCCCACAACACCAGCGTGATCAGGGGCTGGTCCATGGACACACACAACAGGTGGATGTTTCCAGCCTTTTTCCTGGTGCGTTCCCACAGTAGCATGAAAAACATTGACATTTCATAAAGAGGAGGTACAGTTTGACTGCTGA